CTGACCCCTGAACAGGTGAGCAGATGAAGGGATCCCCAAGGGCTTTCCTGGAGGCAGCTGCATGTCTGCCCCACCCGGAACTTGGTCTCATTGTGGCATCAAGCCCAGAGCCTTTGCAGTCAGAGAGCAGCTGTGGCTTCTGCTGTCCTCCTTTACGTCATGACAAGCAGCCTGGACAGGTGGTGGCAAAGCCCAGATTGTAACCATAGATCCCACAGCTGGGGCAAGGGCAACAGGACACAGCTCCTGCCAGTTCCCATCCCTGACATTGGTGGCCTCCCCCTTTCTTGCCTCCCACCTCCAGGTCCCAAGCTGTGGCAACTTGAACAAGTATAGGCTGACACGAAGGAACTCCTCCTCCAGGGGGCCTCCCCTGGCTCCCCTGGCTGCAACAGACAAAATTCTCACAGTTTCCTCAGAACAGGAGCAGCCTGAGGGGCTCCTGTCACCCTTGGCCTCAACTCTTCATCCCCTGGAGGTACAAGGACTCATCTGTGGTCCCCGTTTTCCCTCTCTCCCTGAACACCTCAGCTCCATCCCCAAGCAGCTGGAGTTCCAGAGACATGGCTCAGATCCTGGATTGGCAGGAAGTTGGAGCCACTGAACCCCAAGATAAGATACCATGAGGGGATTGAAAGTGGGTTAGAGTGAAGGATTTGGGGGAGGCAGACAGCTGTCCAATGGACCTCTGAAAACCGTTCTCCTGCCCTAGCTACAAACTGCCAACCCAAGTGACCCACAATGGTGAATGGTAAAGAGGCTCAGGAATTTCCCAGACTCCTCTAGGGCTCTGTTTAGATGGTGTTTGAGGCTCAGGTGTAGAGGTAGCTTACGGGACGGAGGAGTCACTGAAGAAAGAAGTTTTTGATCCATGTGAGAACCTTGCTCTCAGTTGGGTACTGCCACATGTGGCTCAGAACTATCCACCACTTCATGGCTTAGCACCCAAGGTTAGTGAGAGCTCCTGCCAAGAGCCTTTGAACCGGCTGAGGATAAAAGTGTCCTCTGTAGTGGACACATCAGGGCACAGAGCTCCAGCCCCCAGCTACTCCACCCCTCATGGTTCTGTGATGACCTCTGGGACTCTACCAGGTAGTGGAATGTCTCACAGCTAATAAAGTCAGCACATTTCATGTTGGGCTTGAGTGTGTTACTTACCTGAGAGACATCAGGTCCTTGATTGTGCTGTGACTCCAACAGCTGTGGTCTTCTTTGAGTCCCTCCCACAAGGATTTGTATGTTGGGGACCTGAAGGAGCTCTGCTGGACCCAGGAACCCATAGGAGCATGGGGCTTTTAGCTAGGCTAGGGTAAAGGGAAACAGAGAGGGTCTGGCTTGGCCAACACATCTGTAGTGCTCACCCTGTGCCAGGCCCCTGCTGACAGTTCTGTAGATACTGGTTCCCTAAGCCTCACCACAATCCGATGGGGTCAGTATTATTGGCCCTGTTTAAGAGACAAGGGATCAGAAGCAGCGAGAGGCTACAAAATTTACGCAAGCATGAAGGGGACCTCTGGGATGCTAGTACCTTCTTGCTTCCTGATCCAGGAGCTGTGATGTAAGTGTATTTCAGATGGTGAAAATGTGTGCACTTCTATGTGTAAATTATACTTCAATTTAAAAAAAAGGAATGAAGGGGTACCTGGGTGGCTCAGTGGGTTAAAGCCTCTGCCTTCGGCTCAGTTCATGATCCCAGAGTCCTGGGATCAAGCCCCGAGTCAGGCTCTCTGCTCAGCAGGGAGCCTGCTTCCCTTCCTCTCTCTTTCTCTGCCCGCCTCTCTGTCTACTTGTGATCTCTGCCTGTCAAATAAATAAATAAAATCTTAAAAAAAAAAAAAAGGAATCTTGAGACACCTGGGTGGCTCAGTTGGTTGAGAATCGGTCTTCAGCTCAGGTCGTGATCTTGGGGTCCTGGGATCGAGACCCGTGTCAGGCTCTCTGCTCAGCACAGAGTCTGCTTCTTCCTCTCCCTCTGCCTCTCCTGCAGCCCCTCCCTCTGCTTGTGCTCTCTCTCTCTCTCTCTTTCTCAAATAAATAGACAAAATCTTAAAAAAAAAAAAAAAAGGAAACTTCCCTAACATTACGGGAAAAGGATGACATGGTTTCATTCCAGGTCTGGGCTGAGAACATTGCAGTTAATCATTCCAGTGAAATGGAATTTTGTCCAAAAAGTACCTGGTCACCCTCAGTCCTTTTTCAGAACTTCTTGAAAGAATTCTGAAAATGAATCTCTCCTACCACATACACATTTTTAACTTAACATTTGAAGTATTTCACTGATGAGCTTAAATAATTGCAAGCATGTAATTTCCAGTGTATTGTGAATATCGATACTTTATAAATTGCCTCATTTATATCAGTCCATTTAGATCCAAGTAGCATAGTGATTTCAGAACCAAGAGCATTCTTTTTTTTTTTTTTTTAAGTAGCACCCATGCCCAATGTGGGGCTTGAATTCATAACCCTAAGATCAAGAGTCACATGTCTGCCAACTGAGACAGCCAGGAACCCCTAACATAATTCATTTTCTTTTTTTTAAACTTATTTAAATTCGGTTAGTTAACATATAGTGTAACATTAGGTTCAGATATAGAGTTCATTGATTCATCAGTTGCATATAACACCCGGTGCTCATTACATCACATGCCCTCCTTAATGCCCATTACCGGGTTACCCCATCCCCCCCACTCTGCTCCCCTCCAGTAATCCTCAGTTTGTTTCCTATAGTTAAGAGTCTCTTATGGTTTGTCTCCCTCTCTGATTTCATCTTATTTTATTTTCCCCTCCTTTCCCCTATTATCTTCTGTTATGTTTCTTAAATTCCACATATGAGTGAAACCGTATAATTGTCTTTCTCCGATTGACTTATTTTGCTTACCATAATACCCTCCAGTTACATCCATGTCACTGTAAATGATAAGATATCATGCTTTTTCATCTCTGATTAATACTACATTGTGTGTGTGTGTGTGTGTGTGTGTGTATGTATATATATATCTCTCACATCTTTTTTACACCATTCATTCTAAAAAAACAAAAATAGGGGCACCTGGGTGACTCAGTTGGTTAGTGGCTGCCTTTGGCTCAGGTGATGGTCTCAGGGTCCTGGGATCTAGCCCCATGTTGGGCTGCCTGCTCAGCAGGTAATCTGTTTCTCCCTCTCCCTCTGCCCCTTCCCCCCCTCACGCTCTCTTTCTTTCAAATAATGAAATCTTTTAAAAAATAAAAAATAAAAACACGAGAATAAGCTCTTCTTTAACATCATTCTTTTGTCTCTTTTCATAATTCCATTCTATTCCCACCACAGTTTATGCTACATGTAATTTATTTCCAGATTTAAGATCTATTATTGATAACCTGATCATAACTGTTTGCAACAAATATATATATACACATTTTAAAAAAAGATTTTATTTATTTATTTGACAGATCACAAGTAGGCAGGCAGGGGGTGGGGAGCAGGCTCCCTGCTAAGCAGAGAGCCAGATGCAAGGCTCCATCCCAGGACCCTGAGATCATGACCCGAGCTGAAGGCAGAGGCTTAATCTACTGAGCCACGCAGGTGCCCCTGTATATATAAATGTTAAAATTAAATTTTTGTAACCTTACCAAGCTTTAAGGATTACACTTATTAGTACAGAGTTGTTCAAAACAACAGAAATATATTTCAAATTTTTTAAAAATTATTTTTAAAAGTTTTTTTAAAATTATTTTTACAAGTTTTTTAAAAATTTTATTTAAGTAATCTCTACACCCAAGGTGGGGCTTGAACTCAATGACCCCAACATCAAGAGATGGATGCTGTACCAACTGAGGCAGCCAGGAGCCCCAAATATATTTCAGAATTTTTTTTTATAGAAATTACAATTTTATTGCAAATGCATGTATAAAGGAGGGTATTTTCCTCTCATAGCTCATGTGCGGATGAATATTTATCAGCGACAAGGTTCAGCAACACTTTTATATCTATTTTTCTTTATTTTTTAGAAAACTTGTTCAAATAAGTAAGCAGATAGAACACTAAGGGGTTTCTTATATACAGCAGTCACTTAATTCTTTTTGAGTTGCTCAAAGATCCACTATCTTTAAAACGATAATGATATCATCTAGCAATCCCATACGATTCTCCTTTAATTGTGTTGAAAGCAAAGCATAAGAAATCATTCAAATTATCAAGAGATGTTACCTAATTTCAGACCCTTCTCCCGACACAAATAGGTTTAGGACTTGATTAGCTTTTGCCTTGGCCTCGTGGGCGCTGGAGGGGAGAGGATGGAATGAATGGGAACCGACAAAAATTTAGGGCCAAGCAAGTAGGGTCGCCCGCCGATTTAACGGAAAACCAACCCTGAAATTCCGAGCATTTCTAGAATGTCCAGGAAAGTGCGGGAAGTCCTGACTACAGGTGTGTCGGTCTGCAAAGGCGCGTCCCCCGCCGGCCCTTGGGGGTTACTGGGAGACCAGCTCCCTGGTGTGCAGGGCTGTGAGCACCAGGAGGAAATTTAAGGTGATTCCCACTTGGCTGGGGCCAGGCTGCCGGGCCGCAGGCCCCTGGGTAAGGCAGAATGTAAATTTCTACTGGAAAGCGTGGAGAAGCCTCTCAGAATGGCAGCTGCAGAGAAGTCAGAGCAGGTCACGTAGGCGGCTTCACTGTCAGAGACTTGGCCTAGAACTTACAGGCCTGGCGTCCTGCAGCTACCTAACTAGCCTCTAGGCCACCCACGCCCCCATTCACCCGCACTGCGCCGTTATCTCTCTGACTGACATCTCTGCCAGCCAATCACCTTTGCGGCTGAGAAAGCGCCTGGCCCCCCCCCCCGAAGTAGGGCCGGGCAAGTCATTGGAATGACAAACATTTACGCCAATAGCGAAGGGCTTCAGAAGCTACGGGCGTACTAGCCAATGAGAAGAAGGAACCTTTCAAAACGACATGTCAGGCAGCCAACAGCCGGCGCCGCTACGGGGGTCGCGTGGCTTCCGTTTCGAGAGGGCGGGGCGGGGCTTCAAACGGAAGGTGGCTGTTGTCCGAGCCGAAGCAGGTTTCAAACCGGGGGTCGGGCCCGGCAGTCGTTGTCTGTCGCCGCGGCCCCGCTTCCGGGCTAGGCCGCTCCTGCCCGCCCCCGCCCCGCCTCCCTTCGGACCCCTCAGTCTCAGGCCCGGCTCCCCGCCTCTCTCGCGCTCGGCCTGCAGCAGCTCGCTGTCGTCCCGGCCCGCACTGCGGCCCCGCCGCCACCACCATGTCCCTGCACGGCAAACGGAAGGAGATCTACAAGTATGAAGCGCCTTGGACGGTCTACGCCATGAACTGGAGCGTGCGGCCGGACAAGCGCTTTCGCCTGGCTCTGGGCAGCTTCGTGGAAGAATACAACAACAAGGTGGGCCGGGCAGGGGCTCGGAACCCAGCTGGCGGGGAGCGGGCCCCGGGAGCATCCTTTCCCGGCCGGAGCCCAGACCCCAGCACCCTGCTGCGGACTTGTCTTAGCGCTCCCGGAGCGGTTCCTCTGTGTCTGGCCCTGTGCAGAAGCTTTCGCACTCGTTGTCTCATTTAATCCTGGCAGCACTTCTGTGTAGTCAGGAGCGTAATTACCCCCATTTTACTTGTGGGGAAACTGAGGCACCCTGTGTGACTTGCCCGGGTCAGACAGCTATTTAGTTGGGGGAGGAGATGGCTCTCAAACTTGACTTTTCACCCAAAAGCTACGCAGTTTATCACGCCAGTCGTCTACCTTCCCGCCGCATTGCTTCAGCTGGGGGGCGGCCTGGGGAAGAGAGAGGAGGGATGGCTATGAAGATGCTGGTGCCTCAGTTGGTGGTCATACACTTTTGGCTACACTAGGTTCTTTTAGGGCTGTTTACTGTGCAGGCCTCCCCGCCTCCTTCCACCCCCAGGTACCCTTCATGGATCCCCTAGCCTGTCTGCCGGGAGTGTCACTGCTGTTGCTGCCTCACATCTGCCCTCTTAAAAGTGATCTCTTTTTGGAAATTTTGGTCTGTGACCGTGATCCTGCCACTGTTTCCTGAATAGAGAAGGATGACGCTTTCCTTATGTCTTCTTGGCTTCTTTCATGGTGCTACAGAAGTGTAACCTTAAGTAGTTAAGTTTTTCTGGACATTGACAATTTGAGGATCTTTCATAGAAGCACAGGCAGTAGGAAGCTTTTAAGCTGACATTGCAACATGAATTTACTTTTGAAAGTGTTGAATATGTCAGTGGGAAGAATTTTCTTTTCCTTTATCCCTTAATCTCTTCCACTTACTGTATTAAGCACTGTGAGAATGATCAGAGCAACCTAGAGCCTTGGCTAGTGGTGTTTAAAGCCTTATACTCCTGCTTGACACCACGAACACCATGACCTAAGAAGAATGAAACTTTGGGGCCAGTGATAGGCATGGTGTGTGTGTGGGGGGGGGGTTGGGTGTTGGGGGGGGTGGGAGGGGCGCAGGAGCTGGGTGGAGTTTGGTTCTGTTTAGTCTGCTGAATAGCTGCGACGTGTTGTACAGGTTAATCTTATTTCTGACTCACAGTTTCTTGTAGGAAGAGAGTTCTTTTTTACACATAAAGAGTTCTTTTTTACACTGTCAAAAAACATTTGTACATTGTGAGTTTGTTTACAGCGTTCCAGAAGCATTAGAGTCTAGGTCTCAACTTTTCTGGAACCTCCCCCCCTTTTTTAAGATTTTATTTATTTATTTGAGAGAGAGTAAGAGTGAACTTATGTGCACGAGGTGGGGTGGAGGAGGGAGAGAGACAACCAGACTCCCTGCTCACCAGGGAGCTGGACGCTGGCCTCCATCCCAGGACCCAGGGCTCATGACCTGAGCCGAGGGCAGAAGCTTAACTGACTGAGCCCCCCAGGCGCCCCTCTGAAATTCCCTTTGAGAAAATGATGGAAGCAACGGACTCTGATTGCCCAGATATAACACACACAGTTTACACACAAATCCCAGGGACTACTTGATGATATTGAGGTCCACCCATTGTCCACAAAAAGAGTCCTGAGAGAGACATAGTTTTATTTTCTGTAATGGCTTCCTCTTCCGTACCTCCCATGGTAGTCTTCAGAATGGAATGGAATTCAAGGTCCTGATGTGGAAACTGTGTCTGTGTTGGTAAAATTGAGACTACTAGAACTATTATTTGAGAATATATGTTTTTTTTTTTAAAGTAAAATATATTTTTCAAAGGGCTTGAGATTTTTTACGCAAATTGATGGACTTTCTTTTTTGAGGGTGGAGGGGGCAAGGTCTTCCAGAGTCAGTTTGGGTAAGCACTAGCAGCCCCATTTCTAAGAAAGGAAACTAAGCCAAAGTTAGGCTACTAGTGGAATCAGTGAAGTAACTGTGGTCAAACCTCACTTACAGGAACTCTACCCCAAAGTTTGTCCTTTCTCTTTTTTTAAAAAATAAAGATTTAATTTGTCAGAGAGAGAGCACAAGTAGGCAGAGCGGCAGGTAGATGAGAGGGAGAAGCAGGCTCTCCGCTGAGCAGGGAGCTGGATATGGGGCTCCATCCCAGGATCCTGGGATCATGACCTAAGCTGAAGGCAGCCGCTTAACTGACCGAGCCGCCCAGTCGCCCCAAAGTTTGTTCTTTCACTTAGCAAGCTAATGGAACTCTTGTGTCAGGCACATAGGAAGTGTGGATCTTAGTAGTGAAATGCAAATTAATAATCCTAGTGGTCACACCATGAGCAGTTACTTCTATCTTAACTCACTTGCGTGATGTAGGCAACATAATATCTTAAAACTGTTTTTGTACACCAACCTGTCTAGGTCAGAGTTCTTAACGTGTGTGTGTGTGTGTGTGTGTGTGTGTGTGTGTGTGTGTTTGTGTCTGTGCGCGCGCGTGCATGCCATGGACACCTTTGGCAAGCTGAAGCCAATAGACCTCTTTTCATAATTACGTTTTCTTTTTTTTTTTTTAAGATTTTTATTTATTTATTTGACAGACAGAGATCGCAAGTAGGCAGAGAGGCAGGCAGAGAGAGAGGGAGGAAGCAGGCTCCCTGCTGAGCAGAGAGCCCAATGCTGGGCTCCATACCAGGACCCTGAGATCATGACCTGAGCCAAAGGCAGAGGCTTTAACCCACTGAGCCACCCAGGTGCCCCTATAATTGTGTTTTCAAATGTGTAAAATACATAAGAATATGAAGGGAATCTATTATATTGAATTACAGTTATCAAAAATATTTTTTAAAAAGTGGACCTATAGTAATACGTAAATTTTTTTAGAGGGTGAGGGAAGGGCAGAGGGAGAGAGAATCTCAAGCAGACTCCCTGCTGAGCTCAGAGCCCATCATGGGGTTCAAGCTCAGGATCCTGAGATCATGACCTGAGCCCAAACCAAGAGTTGGACACTTAACTGACAGAACCACCCAGGCGCCCCTATACTTTTAAATTAATTCATTAAGTTACACTATCCAGTGTAATTATTACTATAATTTTAAAGTAGTGATGAGGGTAAATAGCATTTTAAGATGATTCGTTATAGTAATGTGATATGATAAAAATCTGATTTCTGTCAGTGACAAAGTCAAATATTGACATGGCTGTAAGTAGCTGCCTTCCTTCTTAATGGAAGGAAATGCTAAATTTCAGTCAAATGTTAGTGAAAACGTGAATGTGCTTTTCCAATTCAGACTCATGGACCTTAAGTTAAGAAACCTTTATGTAAAGGATCTGTGCCTAAGGGGCTGGTGAGCAGTAAATACCTCTTTAACACAGGGCCTTTTAGGCTCAGTTTTGGAAAAGACTTTTACCAAAGAGGTGCCAGACTTCACAGAGGAATTTAAAAGTTACTGTTCTTTTCGGTTCTTTGTTTTCTGCTTGCTGTTGACAATAATTGCCAGCAGAGGCAAAATAAATGGATGCTGCTTTTAACATTGGTGAAAAAGTCCAGAAGTGTTCATCTTTCGTACCCCGGAGACACCGACATAAGAATACATGATAATAATTCCTAAAAGTTTCTGTAGTAATGTAATCATGTTTTTCCTATAGTAAAAATTACTTGTATTTGGAGAATAGAATTAAATTTATTTACAATTCAAGAACAACTTGACTTTCAAGTGTTCCACTTTCTGAATAAATTTGGGAATTGTTTCAGAGTAAAGAACTGGATTCCATTAACTACACCTAGAATAGTAAGTCCCATGATCACTAATTGTGTTTCATCTTTTCTCCTTATGGTCTCCACTGGGGGAATAGCAGCACTGGTGTTGGAATGGTGGTTCTCTAAATCGTAGTGTGTATCTGACACTCCCTTGAGGGATTTGCACATTCCTGGGCTCCACCCCTGAAGTTAACAGATGCTCAGCTGTTTAAGAAACAGGTGGTACAGATGGCACTCTAAGAACATTACCCTGGGATTACCTTGACATCTGCTGACCAGAGGCAGAAATCCTCTCTTTTTTTGCATTTGCATGCACCTGAGCATTGATTCTTCTATTCCGCCCCATGCAAAAAGCTCTGTTACCAGATGCCCCTTTGACGTACTTTGTGTTAGTCCTGCCTCTTCCCAGTTTGTGCGGCCTTGGGCAAGTTAACGTCTGTGCCTCAGTTTCTTCATCTATAAAATGAGGGCAATAAGTAAGATTAAATGAGCTAATGTATATGTAATGGGTTTAGGAACTCTGCCCCGGACATACATGGTAAGCAGTTCAGAAATGTGGGCTATTATTATTTAATCATCATCTTTACTGTATCTGGATAATTGAAATATAATCAAGGAGAATTATATAGGTGTTATGTAAATGTGATTTGTATTTTCCAGAGAGGAATCATGACCCCAGGCCAGAAAGCTACCTCAAAATGTCATTGTGTTCGTTCCTCTGCCTTTTAAAGACCCAGAGGGGAAAAAGAAATCCCTTGATTCCTTTCAAGTAAACCCATTTTTGTGGTCTAGAAGGTTATTGTAGTCAGACTCCAACTACTGTAATGTGCTAGTTTAAGGCCGTTTTCTCTTGTTCTACCTGACTCAGACACAGTAGCTGATACAAGAATGCTGGTATGTCTCCTGAGTTTGCAGGTGTTATTTGCCCTGTTTTAGGGCGAAAGATGAATAGCAGTTCCTGGGCTTCTGTTTCATGTAGTTGCATGTTTCAGAGTTGGTTTTGAATAGAATTGGCAGAGTCATAGGGATTTATTTTGCCCTAATATTTATCTAGCTGACCATCGTGCTTTAAGATTTAGCATCTAGAAAACATTACAAGGTGCTGAGGAGAGAAATATAGGTATACCTGATGCTTTTTGAAGAATACTGATAGTGAATCTGGGTAAGACCACCTTGTACTTGAAATATACATGGGATGAATGCTTGCCTTTTCAGCCGTGTTGATTTCTCTGAGATTTTAAAGCAGTTTATCTGTTTGGCACATCA